TTTGCCCCCCCCCCCCCCCCCCCCCCCCCCCGGGGGGCCGCATACCTTCCTGCTCTCTCTGCGCTCTCTCGCGGGTCTTCATACTGCTGTAATCTTGCTTCAGGTTGATGAGATAGATATGTCTGCGGTTGTTCAAAGCCTTCAGTATAACGCGCAGAGCTGAGGGCGTGTTAGAGGCATACACGGTGTCCAGACCATCAAACACCACGCCACGGGAACAGTCATTCAACTGGCCAGAGACAAAGCAAAGAGGTCAAAGTCTGACCCCCATCAGTCTTCACCTGTCAGTCTTCACCTATCACCCATCAATCAGTCTTCACCTGTCACCCATCAATCAGTCTTCACCTGTCACCCAGCAGTCAGTCTTCACCTGTCACCCATCAATCAGTCTTCACCTGTCACCCATCAATCAGTCTTCACCTGTCACCCATCAGTCAGTCTTCACCTGTCACCCAGCAATCAGTCTTCACCTGTCACCCATCAGTCAGTCTTCACCTGTTACCCAGCAGTCAGTCTTCACCTGCCACCCAGCAGTCAGTCTTCACTTGTCAGTCTTCACCTGTCACCCAGCAGTCAGTCTTCACCTATCACCCATCAATCAGTCTTCACCTGTCACCCATCAGTCAGTCTTCACCTGTCACCCAGCAATCAGTCTTCACCTATCACCCATCAATCAGTCTTCACCTGTCACCCATCAGTCAGTCTTCACCTGTCACCCATCAGTCAGTCTTCACCTCTCACCCATCAATCAGCCTTCACCTATCACCCATCAATCAGTCTTCACCTATCACCCAGCAGTCAGTCTTCACCTGTCACCCATCAATCAGTCTTCACCTGTCACCCATCAGTCAGTCTTCACCTGTCACCCATCAGTCAGTCTTCACCTATCACCCAGCAATCAGTCTTCACCTGTCACCCATCAGTCAGTCTTCACCTGTCACCCATCAGTCAGTCTTCACCTATCACCCATCAATCAGTCTTCACCTGTCACCCATCAGTCAGTCTTCACCTGTCACCCAGCAGTCAGTCTTCACCTATCACCCATCAATCAGTCTTCACCTGTCACCCATCAGTCAGTCTTCACCTGTCACCCAGCAATCAGTCTTCACCTATCACCCATCAATCAGTCTTCACCTGTCACCCATCAGTCAGTCTTCACCTGTCACCCATCAGTCAGTCTTCACCTATCACCCATCAATCAGTCTTCACCTATCACCCATCAATCAGTCTTCACCTATCACCCAGCAGTCAGTCTTCACCTGTCACCCATCAATCAGTCTTCACCTGTCACCCATCAATCAGTCTTCACCTATCACCCAGCAGTCAGTCTTCACCTGTCACCCATCAATCAGTCTTCACCTGTCACCCATCAGTCAGTCTTCACCTGTCACCCATCAGTCAGTCTTCACCTATCACCCAGCGGTCAGCTTTCACCTGTCAGTCAGTCTGTGTCCGGTCACACAGAACTCATACCTGGAGTCGGTCACTCAGGATCTCTATGAGGAGGTCATCGGGCAGCTCGCAGCTCATCAGTCCCGGTTCTCCGGCCACACTTGCGCTGACACTGAGTCGTCTTTGTGCCGGTCCCGGAAGTGGCGAGCCCCCAGCCTGCAGGAACAGGTACACCACATATTCTACTATACCTTCTAACCAATAACCTTCTTCAGAAGGAGAAAGGATTTCTGGGTAATGTAGGCGCAGCGTCCCATCAATCACATGGCAGAGGTACTGAGGACCAAGATGCAACACTCCATCCACACAAAACAGCGCGGACAGACCGATCTCCCCGATGTGCACCAACCTTTCACTCATTGGCTGTTAGAATTTCGGCTGCTTCCGGTGAATTCTGGCCGTGTGTGTGTGTGTGTCCGGCTTTACCGAGAGGTCGTTTCTCCCCCTTCGTTCTGATGGAAGGTAATGAGGTGACTTACCAGTGACGTGGGCGGCTCGGTTGGGTGCTGCGGCTTGGTCGCGGCTGTTGGGTGGCTCTCAGTTTTCCCTTTCCCCGGCTGCGGGCCGTCGTGATTCCCGCGGGAGACAACAGATTGCGGGGCGGCTCTAACCTCCGCACCTTGGCCTCCCTCTGCCGTGTGTTTAGCCACGGCCTCCATGCTGAGCGCCGGCTCCCCGCCGGGGACGTCCAGAGTCTGGGAGGCTGAGAGAAAGTCGAGTCCCATGTGACATTCAGCAGGAATCTGATTGGTAGACAGTTCCTATTTCCCATATACCGATAAATGAGGCTGTCAGAGACTTACCTGCCTCCTCAGCCTCTCGCAGCAACTGATCGGTAGCCGCCTTGGCACACAATTGTCTGGCCCTTAGCCCCGCTTGGGTGCTCCCATCAGAGACGGCTTCCAGGACCACCGTGTCCATGGACAGGCAGGTCGCGCTGTAGTGCTGGGCCAGCGCCAATGCTGTGGAGGACTTGCCTGCATACAACAAGAAAAGAGACTTTATGCCCCCCGCTGAGATTCCCATACACCGCAACACAAGAAACGGGAGACGCCGATAGACGCTTCACAGACCTCCAATCACACCAGACAATCTCCAGGGGGCCTACTCTGTAACTGACTTTATCACAGCAGCCGTTCATTGCATGGATGGTTCATTGCATTGCCTGACATACACACAGCCAACTACAGGGAAAATCTCAAAAGCTTTAAAAAAAATCTTTATGGAATATAA